TTAAGAGCCTCAGCTGTTCTGGAAAATCTAAATGAAGAAATTGCCCCGTAAGTGATATTCCAGAAAGTTCTGTTTGAGATCACTGTAGTCCTCATGGGGAAAGAATGCTTTGGTTTGCCTTGGATCAGTGCACCTAGCTCATTTATGATGACACAAGTTCAACCATCTTTCTTTCTCTCTCTCTATCACTATTACCATGAGTATGCCATGATATCATTCCTTATTTCTAAGGGGAAATGACCTAAAACCAAATAATACTTGGTTTGGCATGGACAGCCATTGTTTCTGTATTGGCTATCATAACCCAGAGTTATCATTCCCTTCTTCTCCGTACAGTAATTAAAGACATGACGCAACACGTGGGCCAGCAAATTATATTCTATTATTGCTGGTAGAAGCCCAGTAACAAGATCGCGACGACTCAGAAATTAGGTTAGCATTAAATAACGCACACAGCAGACCCATTCCCATACGTCATGTGAGCTTTCTGCTGAGTCTGACCTCGTTTGATAACTTCAATTAAATGTACAGGAAAACCTCCATCATTAAGCCAGATTGATTTTCATTCCGTCACTGAAGGGAGCCAGCATTGACGAGTCAAAGCGGAGCCGAATGAAGCTATGGGCGATCTTTATCTAACTCTTAAGTAAACATCTTTGAAAGAATAAAATCCTAGTTAATGCTTAAAGGTCTCGTTCCATTATTGGAATTAATTGCAATCACTTAATTTCGAAAAAAGATTGGGGGAATTTTTTTTTTTTTTTTTTTTTTGCTTTGCAAGTCAATATCTCTGCACAGTTGTTCATCATTGCCAATGCCGTAAACAGCAGCGCTGTATTAACTTCGCTGCACTAAGTAGATTGTTGAGCACATCATTTATTAAGCGAAAGCTTTTAAAAAACCCAGCCAGCTCTTCCCACGCTCTGTGCGCACTGAGCTTCGGCATACAAACGGGATTGTAATAAACCCACCATGATGTAGGAAATGTAATCAAAATGGCAGAGATGGCCCTCTGTATTCCTGCTGATGGTTTTCAGTGCTGATGATGTATTTGTTGTAGTGTGTCTAACTGTGTGTCTGGGCTGCTGATGGGTTCGTGAGGTGACAGAAAATAGGGGGGGTGTTTTGAAGGTAAGAATACCACCTTTTTTTTTGTCGTTTACTGGTTGTTCCCAATGAGGCTCCTGACAGATTCAGGCCAGGCTGTCTCATCACGCAGCACTGTGATACTGTGGGAAGACAAGCCTGAGGAAAATCAATTCACTCCTGGCACAGATAAGCTGTATTGTACAGACCAACACAAAGGCCTGAGCACATTTACACTCTGCGGCTAATCTCCTCGAAGCTGGCCTGCCTTGCACAGAAGAAGAGGCTATAGGCAAGAAAATACATCATATTACTACCCATAATGCATGGTGTATGACTTTCGCTGCTGGAGCTTTCATCACCATCACTTATGCATGACAACAACCTATTATATCTATTTTTATATTTATTTATTTGGGATTTGTGCCGTGCTATCATTCCTTTTTTCATTCTCCAACGGTCCCATTGTTGGATTTAAACCCAAATTGCAAATACAGTCAATACAATAGGCAGCGCTTTTCTTGTGGATTTTTTTTTCCAGACTACAGGTATATTTCCTGAAGCCCAGAATCTTCCCTAATCCTCCTTTCCCAGAATCTCCAATTATTGTCCCAAACTCTTATACTTAGTTATTCTCATAAGCTTCCACGATAACAAATTTCCGAGATAAGCTAATGCTGTTCAGGCCTGATCTCGCTGACCTTTGGCACTACCCAGGTCGTCCATAATTGACCCCAATTACGCTGTACGAAGCAGCACAGCTGGGTCCGATGGAGACATGCAGCCGCTTGGGAGCCTGGTGTCAACAGGTTGAGAGAGCCTCGCTTCAGCTTTTCGTCACCCTCAGCACAACCTCGCGCGCTCCACTTCCTCTCAGATAGTTCCCTCAGAGCAGCTGGGGAAAGACTTAAGACCAACACACATTGAGGACATTTTTTTCCATTTTTTTTGCGGCTTCTCCGGCTGCTAGAGAATGTTCATGATGTAGTGTGTGCCCTGTAGTGATTGATTTGGCCCGCACGGATGAACGAGCCTCGGTGCAGCAGCTGACGTTTCACTCAGCCCTAATGACCGGCTGAAGGAATGGATCGCTCCACTCCTTGGTTCTGCACTTTTTGGTTTTGCCCTAAATGGAAATTAAAGTGGTGCAGCTTCTCTGCTGGAGCTCTCTAGTCCACCGATCGGCCTTATGAACCCAGCATTTACCCAGAGAGAGAAGGACTGTAAGGCAGTTCGTAGCGAGGCCAGGTTTATTTAATACTCCATCCAGGAGCTCATACTGGTTCACCCGCACATGTATTTTTTTCCTCTCTCTATATGCTCATGAAGGCTGCAATCGATGGTGCTGCTCAGCGATATTCTCGCCGGCTTGGTTCGCCCAAGTGCTCTTGCCGCTTTCGCTAATTAAAAAGTGAACGGTAAAACCTCCACCTCCTCCTTCTCTGTTCTGTATTAGAAGACAAAAAAAGGTTCTGTTTACTCCACTGCAATTCTCAATCACACACTGTGCAACTTTGCAAAGTAATAATGCCAGACTTGAGTCGATTTTTGCTTTTCATATCAAGAAAACTATTATGTGTTGGAGGAATTATATGTATGGTGACCTGAGACCCAGACTCTGAGAGCTTTGATAGAGGTGTGGTTTGGGGTTTAAGGCCAAGCTTTAATGCATTTTTCTAAGATTAAGCTTTGTTCTTTGTGTTTTGGGTCAGATTCCTGGGTCCCTTTTGATTCCCCTTTTATTGCAGTCAATCAGCTAAAACATGTTTGGTGTCCTGAGTTTGCTTCTTTAGTTTTGCACATGGCATTGCCACTCTTTTTTAGCTAATAAGTAATGGAAGACCATCACACCCGAAATCTTTTCTGACCTCAAACCTCATCCAGTTCTTCAGTGATGTCACACAGACTTGATGTGGTTTAGGATACAGTAATTTATAAGCATGTACAAAACTTCACCATGTAGCAAAATGCTGTAAAGTTACACCACAGCTAGTCTTGCAAGCCAGACCTTGCTAAGTTTTCCTAAAGAGTCTGGTATGCATCATCAAAAACATGACAAAGAACCACAAATTGATTGACATAGTAGATGACCACAGACGTTTTCTCACAGCCCAACTATGGCCATCATTTGAGATTATCTTTCTTATTTACCACTAAGTGCTGCACGTACAATCTTTTAAAGACTTTATTTTGCAATTTTCTTCAGTCCGGTGACTATGTCTTGCTCTGAATAGCTTGTCTGGTCGTGCTGGAAAACCAGTGCACAGAAGTGCAAATGCATGAAGAGCCTGTCAGATTGCAACTTTCAAGATCCTGAAGCTTGTGGCCAGAAAAGTGTACAAAGGATATTAGACACTCTGTATCCTGTGAGCTGCAGCAGCTGAGAGTACAGTGCAGCCATCTTGGATAACCAGCATCACTTTTCTCTAAGTGCATGTTGTTATCATTCCCCTTCCTCCCCGCCTTGTGAAGTTTAAACGCGGAACTGTACTGAAAAGCTGGAAGTTGTGTGGATGAATTTAAATTCTTAAGCGCAAGCTATTCCTACTATTTTGCAAAATATTTAAATGGGATTACGTAGCTCAATAATGTGATTTGAAGCAAGTATATGAAGAGTGGTGCGTGTTTTGATGAAAGAGGCATCCATTTAAAAAAAAAAAAAAAAAGGTGATAATTACAGTTACAAAGGTAAAATTGAGACACAAATGTGACCCAAATTCTAGATACTGAACTACACACTATTTGTGGCTATCTGATACCACATTGTTTTCTATTAGCCTTACCTCAGGGTGTCTTTAACCTCATACTACCTCACTATCTGTCTTTGGACAGCATAACTGTATGTAATAATGCCTTGGAGGAACTCATTCCACTCATGTAGTGTCTATATTGTGTCTATTTATCTTCTGCAGTACTGGTATGAAGGTAATGAGATGGGGGACCTGCCTGTGGATTTCTCCATCGTCTGGGACGGAGACTTTCCCATCGACAAGCCCTCTGCTCTGAGAGGTACGTTCCGCTGTTTCATAACCTGTGCACAAGAATTCAAAGCCTTAATCGAGAAATCTCTACAGCAGCAGATCAGAGCTGTAGCCACAGAGGCTTTGCACAACAACATAATTAATAGATAAAGACCAGCAAAGTGTCCTGATATCAGAAAATAAAAGACAAGACGGAGGTGACAATCACCACAACACGGCGTGTTTTTTTTTTTAACACGTTTTTTTTTTTCCAAATATTTTTTATATCGAGACATTGAATGGATGCAATCTAGCGTACACCATGACTACATATTAACATTTGTTTTCTGTGGTTTGCTTGCTCATAACTAAATGATGTGCAAATAGCAAACCCAATTGTATTTTATTTATTTGCTCTGCCGCAGGCTACCGTTATACGATTGTTGTCATTTCCATTGTAGCCTATAAATAATTAACTGCAATGATACCATCTATAACAAAAAATCAGGATGATTAATTAAGGTAATCAAATGCTAAATTTAACAGTTACAACAATGAAACTGAGCAAGCTCAGGCTTGGCAGATTGCTAATAAAATTTAACATCCCATTAAAACCCTGAAGTTTGATAGTGAAGTAATCAAAGCATCCCTGTCAGCCTCAGGACAGAGAGAGGAGATTTCTTTGTTGCCAGTTTAAGGAGTGACGTGGTGTGGATGGAGCATATGTCAGGATTCACTAATGCTAAATTTGCTGCCTTTGGCCTGGTTCATACTTCAGTGTCTGCTTGTTTAGATGTGCAGTCGGTTACACTGGCAAAGAAGAAGCAAATTAATACATACTTACTTCCAGATTCTAAATCGGCAATGGAGTGCTATTAGATATTAAAATCGACCATGTAGGGAAGACTCATTTTTCACATAGAAAAAGATTAGCGTAGACCCAGCAGTGACAGCTTGGTGGTGCTGGGATTTGAACTCACACCCTTCTGCTCAGTAGGCCAACATCTTAACCACTGAGCTACCACTATGTGACCAAAAGTATGTGCTTGTTGAACATCCCATTCCAGATTTAGTCCCCTTTTGCTGTTAGTAATAAGCTCCACTCTTCTGGGAAGGCTTTCCACTAGATTTTGGAGCATGGCTGTGGGGATTTGCCCATTTAGCCACAAGAGTATTAGTGAGGACAGGCACTGGTGTCATGTTAACTACCCAAACACTGAAGCTAGCTAACTAGCTTTCATGAAATGAGACGTTGTTGTTCTTTTCATACATGTAATTACATTATTAACTCAGTTAATAATTCAGTATAAATTAAATATAGTTATGTGGGTAGAGTTCTTGACCTTTCTCTCTCACCCTTATTGTGGCACTTTATGGACACTTGGTGCTAATTATATCACATCATTGTAGCAATGCCAGATTTGCAGTCTGATTAAAGAATTATATTGACAGTATTACTCTGAAACTCTTGATAAAACCCATGGAGGACAGGTCACAACATCTCGTCATGTTTCCGGGTACACAACCGGACACACCTCCTCACCTCAACCAATTGGTGTTCACTTGAAGCATCATAAATACGCACAGCATGTTGTTAGGATACTGTCAGGCAGTCAGTGCGCCTTTGTGTGATATGATAATCGTAACCCAACCCCCCAACAAAAACCCCCACTTTGACTCAGGTTAATAATCCTGGAGGGCTAAACAGTGTACAGATCGTTGCTGAATTTAGAGATCAAGCTTACATTGAAGGTTTTAAGCCCCCTAGTGGTAGAATGTGAGGAAGAAGGAAAAATATAAATAGATAAACAGAAAAAAAACAGAGCATTCCTGTCTTTACTTCTTTGTGTTCATAGTTTATTCAGTGCTTCAGTCTGCTCCAGTGGACAGAATTGACTTTTTCCATCTATTCAGCCTCATATAGACATGTTCTCATCTAGACTAGCATATTTTATTAACAGATTACTTCAGTGCCTATTTTTGTTTCGTGGCTTCATTTTGTGGCTGGTACGGAAAGTGTCCTTTGTCCCTGCTGTGTACAAATTATATTTCAGAGTGAAATGGAAAATGAGGACGGTCTGATTTATTGGAGCTTTTGATCTTTTGTGTGGAGAGGAGACTGAAAGAGAGAGTAGAAATTCAAATATCCCAAAGTTGACTATGCTATGAAGACTCAGAAGGATTAACATTAGTGCCATTTCTTTCCACCAAAGATGTCCATAGCACTTTAAATAGCAAGTAGCTCAAATACGAGACTGTGGGTAATGCAAAACCAATTCTGTAATCTGGGTGGACAAATCATAAATTGAAGTTAAAACCTCCAATGTGCTGCTCGGGAAATGACTTAAGTGGTAGCTAACGTAATATAATAACGTATAATGAGCTAGTTTGCTATGATTTAATAAGGACTATGAGCAGTGAATGAGTTTAATATTATTATTGTCTTCTAACAAAGTTTATAATGTAGCGCATTGTGTTTGCATCCTTAACAAAAAGTCAGCAAGTCAGTGATGAATGATTCGGCTAAGAGCTTTGGGTTTCTTTCCTCACATAGCACCTAAAAGTTATTGGTGAGCGTCTTTATATTCTCTTGATATGTTTACCCACAAAGTAACAGCGTGAGAGTTATATGACGGCTTTGTTTCGACAGTGTTTTCTCATACCTCATACCTTTACTTAAAATGTCATAAATTTGGATTTTGTCTAAATATCAAATATTAAAAAGTACATGGACTGTAAAATAAAATCGTCCAGTGTCCAAAATTTGTAACATTCAGTCTAAAATTCAGTCTAAAATACGTAATGAAGACAAAGTTTTTTAGAAAATGTAAAAAATGTAAGAAATGTATGAACATAAAATTTACACCGTATGGGACTGTTGGGACTGATGCAAAAAGGAAAGAAAGAAAGAAAGAAAGAAATAGTTTTTAAAAATCAAAGTTGTTCAGTGGAGTCTCACACACAAAAAAATAGATTTTACATTAATCTTTTGGTTATTTTTTAAATTGCACATAGAAAGTTATTAAAGATTGAGAACAACGACTTGGTCTAGAGAGCTACAGAAGTTTATCTTAATTTACAAATCAAGTGATTTGGAGGTGATTTACATCTTATATTTTCCTAAAACATAAAAAAAAAAATAAGGAGTAGGGTTTTTCAAACCTACTTGTCTACTGGCTAAGTATGAATTAAAAAAAATAAATAAATAACTTGAAATCTGCTTGTCCTGGGCCAATTATAGTGACTTGTCCATCCCTATGCTTTAACATTTCGTCCTGTTAATATAATGGTGAAAAATCATCATTATCAGTGAAAAATATAAACCAGTCCATGATCAAGCATAAAGCAGTGTGGAGGTGATTCATATTCTAAGGATCAATCTGCGTGAAGTTTTGACACTCCAGCTTTAGCACTCTAAAGTACTGAAATTTACATTTACAGCCAATCAAGGCCTATATGTTAAGTACTTTAAATTTACATTATTGAAATTCTGTGATAATTAGGGAGTCCATTTTTTGAGAACGGATAGAATCATTTTATTCTGTAAAATTAAATACAAAAAACACTGTTTATTTTTATACAGTTCTGTCTGACTTTCTTATTAAGCACTCTTTTAATATCATTCAATAAGTAGTAATAGTTTTGGCAGAAACACAATACACGCCATTACATTTGACTTTTTTTGGACGTTTAACACCAGATTCAGTAAACAGATGAGAAGATGAGTTCTGCTATGCAGATATTTGATTGATCACAAATGAAAGATTCAGAGAAAGGAAAACAGAAAACAAATGAAATATGAAAATCTGAACTCCTCCTACGGTTCTTCTGATGGAGGTGATTGGTTTTGTGTGTGTGTGTGTGTGTGTGTAGTAGGGACTGGTGTGTCCAGCATCCTCCTGCTCTCTGGCCTCATCCAATCAATACACACCAACTCAACCACCTGCACTTACCCCAGCATGGCTGCTTATTGCAATTACCCAGGGAGCAAGGGCCTGTGTGTGTGTGTGTGAGTGTGTGTGTAAGGCAGAGCAGCGAGCTGAGTACAGTAAATGTAAGCGTGGGCTTTGCCTTGGCTGCTTTCACCCTTACAGTTCAATTATCGACTCAGTGCGAGCTGCTGGCTCCACTCCCACTGCTGACCTGCCTTCATCCAGCCAGAAGAGTGCAACACTTTATCCCTCCCTCCCTCCTCTCTCTCACTCTCTCGGTGTGTGTGTGTGTGATGGTGTTGCTGGATGTGCTCTCCACACAGCTCTCCTGTATAAGTGTGAAGCTCAGAGGGACAGCTGCGGTCTGTGTCTGAAGGCAAACAGCATGTTCGAATGCGGCTGGTGTTTGGCAGATAAGCGCTGTCTCCTGAAGCAGCACTGCCCTTCAGCCGAACACAACTGGATGCACCAGGGCCGCCGCAACGTGCGCTGCAGCCATCCCCGCATTGCCAAGGTAACACACACATACATACATGCATACACATCTACATATACACATATCCACTGAAATAATAAAAAAAAGACCCTGTGTTCACAACAAAGCACCTGGAAGACATTCGTATTCACTAACAGCTAGAAAACAAAGCAAATGTTTATCAGAACAAGTGGGCGGGGTGAAATAGATAGATAACCTGCATAGATAACCTTTATGCAAAATAGTTAGTGAAGCAAGAGTGACTCTATGATTCAGAATAATAAGCAACAAAGTTATTTTCTATGCTAGCTAGCTCGCGTTGATTTGTACGTTCCCGTTAAAGGTGCTTCCAGTCACATTGGTGCCCCTTCTTCCTTTACATCTTCATCTGACAAGCTTTCATATTTTAATTCAAGTTATATTCCTGAAAAGTATCGTTTGCCGTGTCCGCTGATGATGTCGCTAACACTACTGTAGTAACCGTTTCAAACTAGGAAGTGGAATTTTATGTGATGAACACAGACAAGCGGAGTGATACACACAGTGATATGTCCCAGTGCAGTTATAGGAAATACAGGCACTCCTGGAACACTGCTCAACCAATCAAATTAGTGGACCAGAGCTAACTATTTTATAATAGCATGTGTTTCTGTTCAATACTGTTCCATAGCCATACTATTTCTGTTCAATTGTGACTCCTGATTATAACACTATTATTGCACTGACCAATCAACAATCTGCAGTATTTCTAGCTCCACCCATATTTTTTCTGTTTCTCTTGATTCATCCGAGGTTCAAACAAAAAGTCTGATCGTGGATTTGTTACTGTACCATACCACAGTGTCTGGTGGAAAAATGCTCAAACAAGTGTGTGTGTGTGTGTGTGTGTGTGTGTGTGTGTGTGTGCAGATCCAGCCCTTGACTGGTCCTAAAGAGGGGGGCACGCGGGTGACGATCGAGGGTGAGAACCTGGGGCTGCAGGTGAGAGAGATCACACACGTGCGTGTGGCCGGCGTGCGCTGTAACACTGTGGCACAGGAATACATCAGCGCTGAGAGGTGACACACACACACACACACACACACATACACACACACACGCGACATCTACCACAGCTACCAGTCTCCGCAAAACATCAGGAGTTTATAACATCTGTCACTGTAGTGTCATCTGTGCTGAAGTGCTGATGAAATGTGTGTAGTCTGAATGAGATGTTAGATAAAGTGTGTATGAAATGAGATGCTCAACATTCTCTTAAAAGTCAGTCACGGTACAAATAACACACATCGCTATAAGGAGGCGTTGAATTTAATGCTAGATCAGAAATGGAATTGTTCTATACCTATTCTGTAACTTGTTTCATTTCCGTGTTGTTTTGCGAGTTTTAGCGAGTATGTGTATGTGTGTTTGTGTCTGTCAGGATCGTGTGTGACATGGAGGAGTCTCTCATGGCGAGTCCCCCGGGCGGTCCAGTGGAGCTGTGTATCGGTGACTGCAGTGCTGATTATCGCACTCAGTCATCTCAGACCTATGCATTTGTGGTACGTAACACTTTCGACATCTTACGTAGCATTTTTTCTTGCATTGTTCAGGTGTATATCATTTATTTAACATTTTGAA